GAATCTAGAAGTTGACGACAAGACACTGATTCCAGATGTTAACGATAATACAGAGACTCCGGAAGTTAATGATAACATCGCGGCTCCAGAAGCGACGGATCAAGTGTTGAATAGCTATGAAAATACGGAACCGACAGAATCTGCTAAATGGTGGGACGCGGAAGGGTTGGCCATTTCGGGCTTATTTAGTGATTTAATACCCGATGAGATTGAGATAGTGTTGCATAAGTACGCGCTCTCTCCGCAAGTGATTGTCTTTACTTTCATCATAAGCTTCTGCTGGTGTTTGGCGAAGATATTGATCTCGTGTTTCAGTTCGTCCAACAAAGAGACTGAATTAAGAGGTAGTATTGAAACGGCATTGAAATTGACTTAATTTTAATGATGAAATTGTTTTGATAGAGATGTGTAATAAGAGTCAACGACAGGCCTATTATTTTGAAGCCGAAAAAGAGAAATTGCAATCAGAAGTGCACAGAGAGACAGAGAATGTATGTATTTTATAGAAACCATTGAATGATTTATTTTAACACTATTTTGCTGACCATTGGTTTTAGGCTCGAATAGCGGTGGAAAAGCTTCAAATACTTGAACAAAAAGTACATCCATTGGAAAAAGCGTGTCAGAAATATAAGGTATGTTTAATACTATAAGTCTATGTTATAAGACTGTGAGATGACTAATGGATTTGCTGTGCATTCAGTCGGAAAGGGAACAATTGCAGCAAAGAGTGATTGGTTTGGAGAGCGATCTCGAGAGCGCTGCAGAGGCAGGCCTTGAAGCCAATCGTCTATTGAATGACTTCTTGACGTCTCAGAAGGAAAACGTGAGCTTGAATTCAAGCGTCGATGCGTTGCAACAACAGATCACTCGACAGACAGATATTGTCTCCAAATATGAATCCAAAGCTAAACAGAAAGAGACGGAAGTAATTGTTTTTAGTTATCAATTAGTTATTTGTCTCACAATTATTAATATAATTTGCATTTTATTGAATAGAATAAAGAGCTTAAAGAAAAAACCGATAAAATGAGCGCCGAATTGGAGAGACTTAAGAATGTTTTGAAAGAAACATCACTTAATTTAGAAACCTTTCAGAAGAATAACGATGAGTTAAAGGCGTCTAAAAGTGAACTCAGTTTGAGTTTTACTGAATTAGAAGAACGATATTCTAGTCTTCAGCTCAAAGCCGATGATTATATCGAAAGAAATGACGAACTCTTGAATGACTTTCAGAAATTAAGCCATGAATTGGAAGAACTCAAAGAAGAGAAGAATCACAAGGACTTAGAAATAGAGTCGTTTAAAGAGATTTTGTCAAAACTGAGACGACATCCCAATAAAGACAGCGAAACCAACGACGAGGACAACGACAACGAAGAGGACGGCGAAGAGCGCGGCGAAGACGGCGACCAAATGGATAGCGCGATGCACGACAAGGCTTTGTCCGATTTGTACGATATCGTCGAAATGGATCTAAAGCTTAAGAACGTAACGATTGACAAAAACGAGTTGAGCCTAAAGCTGGAGGAAGTGTCCAAACGTTGCGAAGAACTTAACCATAAATTAGAGTCTTTAGAGGAGGAGAACCGATCGATTAAGACTGAGAGCGAGGGCGCCGTTAAGGACAGACTTAAGGCTCAAATGGAATTAGAAGTACTGACCAAATACTATAAGGAAAAGGAGGTCGAGTTGGGCAAAGAGATTGGCGTTCAGCACATCCAACGACAACAGAAGGAAGAGGACGTATTAAGGACAGACTTAAGGCTCAAATGGAATTAGAAGTACTGACCAAATACTATAAGGAAAAGGAGGTCGAGTTGGGCAAAGAGATTGGCGTTCAGCACATCCAACGACAACAGAAGGAGGAGGACGTGAACTCCATGTCCAGCCAATTGAGTGCTCTCGAAGAGGAGAACGTGTCGCTCAGGGATCAGTTGCAGTCCATGAAGAAAGAGGTTTCAGACACGGAAAACAAGTTGAAAACACAAATCAATCAATTGGAGAAACAGGTGCACGAGAACTGGATTATCGCCCGAACCGCTCAACGATCGCTCGATGAATCCAAAGCCGAGGCCTCTGTCCTCAGGCAGACCCTTACGATGTCTGTGAAGTCGCCGATCGATGGCTATGCGGGCGACGCCTCGTTTATGGACGACTCGGCCAGTTCTGTGTCTTCAATGCACGACCATTTCGGAGCGTTGCCTCCACCGCCGCCGCCCCCACCGATGCCTCCCATTCCTCCGCCGGCACTATTCAATCAGATGATGGCCGGAATGCAAATGCCTTACAACGAGGAGATGTCCGATCCAACGGCACTCTGGAATCAGCACCAAATGATGCCTCCCATTCCGCCGCCGTTCCTACAAATGACTTCACAGTTCGCTCCCATTCGACCCGACAATGCGATGGCCAACGACCTCAACAATTCGTACAATTCAATGCTTAACAATCAGAACTATAATTCAATGGCCAACGATCCCAACTCGTCCTACAATTCCCTATCAAACGACCCGAACATGTCGTATAACTCCACGTCCAACGACCCGAACTCGTCCTACACTTCGATGGCCAACAACCAGAGCGCACCGTACACTTCGTTGCCCCACAACTCGCAGCCCGTAAACAATTATGTGACACAAGTGTCACAGCAATGGGAAACGCATTCAAATCGGGACACATACTCGCCGTCGTCGCACCGGTCGACCACTGGTTCTCCTCACCAGTCGTTCCCAATGTATTCTCAACCAAACAATCATTATTCAAATCCATTGCTGGCGTCGGCCGCGAACTCGATGTCGAGTCCGATGCATAACAATTCAATCAGCAATCATATGCAGTCATCGCAAGTGAACAATTCGTTAGTGAACACGAGTCCATCGGTGGTGCAGTCCTCACAGTCGGTGAATATGTTTTCAGAGCCCATACCATCCCATTGGGCGCAACCCAACGGCAATATTCCCAATTTAAACAACAATTACAGTCATCACGAGTATAACGAGTCCCAGACCGTCAACGCGGCCCCGACGACGACACCGGCCACTACCGCCCACACCACTGATCCCAACAATTCTTTCTATACATCTGTTGTTTGATTTTTTTCCAATATTTGTTTTTTGTTAAAAATTAGTTAATGTTTTACGAGATATAAAATACTTTATTTATTATTTTATTGCTTATACGGTATGATTGAAACTGAATTTTAGGCATTTATATAACAATGAATTGATTATCAAAGAGTTGTTCACTCAAAGAGTGATCACTTATATTATAAACAATTATAAAAAGACTATTAATGACTGATATCAATAAATTTGTGAATTATATTGTAATTGATTGAATTGTTTGTATTTTGTATAAATTGTGCACTTAACGACCGGCATGCATTTAAATATTGTTGACCATAAAAAGTACAATATAAGAAATAACTAAAGAGTTGGTGTACTCTTAAGTGTACTTCAAATGTTAGAGTCAATGTTACAATCAAATATAAAAAATTTATTTAAATCTCTGATTGAGTGGTGTCTTATTGGACACAGAATTTTGCTTTAAATCCAATGTAAAGTAAAAGCCGTCGCGAAATATATAGATTGTGTTTTGGAAATTGAATGCACTGTTCATTACGGGGTTATCACACAATTCATTGCATTCATACAAATACATCACAACCCATACAATCAGCCAGAAGTCGAAGATTGGTTTGAAAGACATTAGTTATCAATAGTTTTGTATTACAAGTACTGAATGACAATCGGTTTAGTAAAAAGTATTTCAATTTTAAAATGAGATTATTTAACCAAAAAGTCACGAATTAAACAATAGATAGACATGTATTTAAATACCATTACATTTAATTACATTTATATTATAACCGTTTATCTCAAACACAAAACAAAACTAATTTCAATTAAAACACATCCATTAGACACCAACCCATCGGACAATGACATCGCTTCGCATCAAAGACTTCTGCCGGCGGCCGGCGTTACGGAGACAGACACAGACACTATGGCATTACCCACATCTGGCGACAAACAGGTCACTACAACACACACCGCCACCGATGACAACCGCCGACTTCTCCGCCGCCATCGTTGCCGCCGACAAACGCCAACCACTGCATCAACTGATCGACAACTTTACCAAATGTCAGCTGCAAGAGGTCTTAAAGGAGTTCCAGTGGACGTACAGACAAAGTGACACAAAACCGGTACTGTTGTCACGAGTCCAACAGCTGATCGACTCGCCCGACATCGATGTCCACCGCTTGTCACGTGTCATATATGATAGCAATGTCTTCGGGAAGGGTCGCCGTAAGGCCAAGAAGTCAGTGGCCAATGGTATGCAACGGCCAACACCTCCGATGCCTAAGAAGAGACAGCGCGTGGACTCGCCATTAAGTATCGGCAAATCGTCGCGATTCTACGATCTCTACAATTCTACCATCAGTTCATCGCCAACCGTCACCATTGATACGTCGGACACGAGTCTCCTTTCGCTACCGGCGGACATCAGCGGTCAAAAAATGATCACCGGTTATGCGTTCAGACCGTTGCCGAAGTATACGATCGTAAAGCGGTTGCGTAAAGCGATTTTGATGCCATCGATTTCTTGTGGCGGCGTCCGGAAGATATTGCTTCTCGATAAAGACCACTTTCCCGACGCATCCATTTCTAAGGACACGAATTTACAGCAGGTTTTGGCCCAAAATCGGTTGCAAATACAGCTGCGGTTCAGTTATTCGGCCGAATCGGCGGCCAAAGACTCCGTATCCGAAGGGCTGTGTATAGACGTAAACGGCGCCCGAGTTTACACCTATTCCGATGGCCTGCAGTGGCGCCGGCCGTTCGACGTGAGTCCATACTGTCGACTCGGTGTGAACTACATCTGGTTCTCCAAGAACTCTGAATACAATTTATCGGTACTTTTTGAGATGAGTGTTGTTAAGGAATGGACGGACAAAGGCGATGACAGCGGCGTCAGTATTGACGATGAATTTTCGGACGATTTGGTGTCTGATGTGATGTCCGACAGTAATAGCTATAACGGAGACAACGATTCTAATGTTTTGTTTGAGTAAATCATGTTTATTGTAATTAACTGTAAATACATTATTAAATCATTACATAATTAGCATTGTTTCGTGTTTTTAGTTATTTTAATTATTGTTAAGTTTTGCTTTCATTTTATTATTGTTAACACTTATTGCACAAACATATTCATAGCGTGAATATAATAATGATAACATATTTCTTGCATTCAAATACAATAATTATCGTTAATTTTAATGCAAATCAAAGGCATTCAGTAAACGTATAATCAAAGTGAACACAAAATTTTTAAAACATGGTCTCATTTGTAGTGATTTATTCATTTTCATTAATTTTAATCAACAGTTATTGTGGTTTAAGTGTAGAGTCAGGAGATATTAATTCAAAGAATAATCAATTGAATGCTAATAACGATCAAAAAGCTATAGATTTATATGAAAAAGCAATTTTGGCGTTGAATTCAAATAAAGCCANATCAATTGAATGCTAATAACGATCAAAAAGCTATAGATTTATATGAAAAAGCAATTTTGGCGTTGAATTCAAATAAAGCCAATCCGAAGACGGCGTTCACTCTTTTGCAAGAATCGGCTCAACTTAATCACCAAAAGGCCAAAGAATTGGTGGCAAAGTCTCACATATTTGCAGATCATTTGCCATTTAACGCCAAAAAGGCCATCAAATACTTGCAAAGTATACCAACCAATGAAAGTTCTGGCGCTCATCTTCTTCTTGGTTTTGTCTATGCGTTTGGTCTGGGAGTGGATTCAGACCAAGAAAAAGCTCTTCTTCACTACACATTAGCCGCTAATTTAGACAATTCTTTGGCCAAAATGGCGGTTGGATTCAGATATCTGTACGGCATTGGAGAGGAAAAGAATTGCCGCAAAGCTCTTGACCTCTACCACAGTGTGGCCACAAATGTTGTCGACGAGTCTCCCATTAGCGGCGGTCAGATAATCAGAAGTCATCATTTGTGGCAACAAAAGGGCGGTTTAAAGCAAAGTCTGGACACAGATCTCATCGATTACTATAGATTTTTGGCCAAAAAGGGTGATATAAGCGCTGCCGTGACTTTAGGACAACTATACTATTTCGGTGGGTTTGGTGTGGAGAGGGATGTGAACCAGGCTTTTGAATACTTGACAAAAGCGGCCAAATCTAAGAATCCAAACGCAATGGCATTATTGGGAAGAATATATTTAGACGATTCCGCGAAACAGAATCTGACGGNAGGCTTTTGAATACTTGACAAAAGCGGCCAAATCTAAGAATCCAAACGCAATGGCATTATTGGGAAGAATATATTTAGACGATTCCGCGAAACAGAATCTGACGGAAGCGTACCGTTTGTTTACGGCATCGGCGCAGAAAAACAATCCGATCGCGCAGTCAGGTCTTGGAATGATGTATCTTCGGGGCAAAGGAGTTGCCGTCGACTTCGAGCACGCATTTAATTATTTCGCAATGTCTTCGAGACAGGGATGGGTTGAGAGTCTGTATCACATCGGACTTATGTATCTGAACGGTATGGGTGTCGCTCGCGATTACGGTCAAGCCGTCCGTTTCTTCACATTCAGCCTCCAATCCCAGCATTTGCTCGCGTTTTACAATTTGGGTCAACTCTACGCCGGCGGACACGGAGTGCCCAAATCGTGTGCGAAAGCCGTTTATTATTTTAAATCAGTGGCCGAAAGAGGCGTCTGGTCTCAAGAGTTGACTGATGCCGACAATTACCACAAGAATCGCAACGTATTGCAGGCGTTCCTGAAGTA